TATTTTTATGAATATTACAGTAAGAGGCTGTGTGACTAGTCCGTATGAAAGAGGATCTAGTGAAAAATTAAGAGTTTGTAACATTTGTTGTTATGAAGAATAGGTATATTCATTTTAGAGTTACGAGGTGGGTCATAAGACATCGAATAAAAAAATAACATACAAGGTGATAGAAAAAGCAGTCAATTGTTCACTGAAGACAGTAAACATAGTAAATAATGTAACCAGAAGTCTCTGTCGAGACTGTAGCTCTACTGGTTTGTACTTACAACAAAGGATGAGAAAAGAGGCCATTGCCATCAGACCAAAACTGTATTTTAAAGACATTTCTATCAATACTGTTCATCGAAATCATAAACCGAGGCGTTTCAATGGAATTTCACAGAAAATTCTATTTCTAGTAACCACGGCAACACCGTTCATCCAAATCAAAATCCAATGCACTATCTTAGTGTAGTCTACTTGTTTGATAAGTTATATTGAAATCAGACCAAAACTGTGGAAGGATTACCATTTTAATGGAATTTCACAGAAAATTCTATTTTTAGTAACCAAGGCAACACCGTTCATACAAATCAAAAACCGATGCACTATTCCATGTATCTTAGTGTAGTCTACTTGTGTGCCAAGTTATATAGTCCTATTGCACGTTCGGGTTCGCCATTTTGGTATTGCTCGTTAAATATACATGTCAAAGGTCAATCGGGGATAAGGACGCTGTAATGGATGCCTGCGGAAGTCAAGAAGCAATACACAGCGGTTTATTTTGACTAATATTTTATAACTTTGATATTTTATACATACATATATATACATTATGGATCCTGGCGATCAAAGCTGTACTTTAGATGATTTTTCTCATTGGAAAATTTAAGCGTTGCGGTCATTTTTGACCAGGCGAGGACTCTCAAGCACCGGAAATAAGAAAGAACTGATAGCTCTGGCTTTTGCGGCAAGTAAGCTTAATATGCCAATTATACCAACAGCAGAAGAAAATGAAAAGTCTAAATTAGATACCTACAAACGTTTACTCAAAGTTGGTGATGTTACTTTACCTGACCCTTTGTTAATTTATGATAAGTGGGAAGACGAGAAACAGGGTATGTCTCATTGGCCACCAGTGTTTATTACAGACATTACTAAATTTTTAATGAAATCTGAAAGTGAGGAGAAGGCAAGTGAACATCTGAATCAGTATAAAATGGGAAAAGCATTTGAGTATTATTCATCAGAGTGGCTGAAAGAAGTGTTTTATCATCCCATATCATCATCATCACCATACTGTTTTCTGCGTGCCAGGTGCACACCTTCCCAGAATCTTAATGCTGAAATACAGTGTTTGGATTTGTTTTGAGAAGAAACCTGGAACAGTTATAAGTGCCTACTGTTCTTGTACCTCAGGGTAAGTGATCATGAGAACAGTTTTCAATTGATTAGTTATTTCTAAAGGTTAATTAAATGACATATGAAATGTAATATAATCGATAAAATTAGGTATAATCAAGAAATTGTTTCTACATATCCCAGAAATAAATAAATCATATATAGACCTACATGTATATTATTCACTTATAATCATTATATACACATGTCCATGTGTTTAAGTTTTGTAAATAATATAAAGTATTTCGGTTTATAATGATAACTGGATTTTTATATTGCAGCCTGGGACAATCTTGCAACCATGTAGCTGGTTTGCTTTTTCGTATTGAATCAGCAAACAAACTGGGGCTTACATCTTGCACCTCTGGAACTTGTGTATGGGTTAAACCAACAGAAAAAAAGCTCCAACCTGCCCAAATCAAGGATATGAACTTTAAAAAGTCAAAGCATGGTAAAGCTGGTAGGTATACCAGAACTTTCACACAGTTCAATAATGACTATTGCCATACAAAAAGACTTTACAAAATGAATTACACTATGGCTGCATATGATTAAGATTACCAGGTAATCTTTTTAAAAAGCTTGGTCATTAAAAAATTATACTTTAGACACACAGTTATATAATAACATTAGTGTAATGTAAGCATAATATGAGGTAAAAGTTATAATTCAATGAAAATTTAGAAATGGGCAAAAAATATTTGTGTACAATTAAGGTACATGTTTTCTTGATGTAAAGTACATGCACTTTATATATACAGTATCTAGACCACTTGTTGGGAGGAATAAAGCAGACTATGAAGTTACGCCTCACACAACCAGAAACACTGACGAGGACATACGGAGGACCCTTTTAACCTCCTTGAAGGATGCTCTTCCAAATGCTTGTGTGTTTAAAGGTAAAAGCTAGTTTAACAAAGAAAATTTTAAATATTTTTACTCATCATGTATTCTTTACATAGACCAATTTTTTAATAGATTAATACAGTTAGATAAAGATTATAAAATATATACATACAGAGAAAGTATATTGCATACATTAAAATTATATTGTATTATCAGACCCCCAGTCTAGCAATGGTGCTCTGTATTTTTGTTTAATCCAGGTATGCAGAGTACTAATGATCCTCCAGAGTTGCCTATGGAGGAGGAAGAAACAAAACCTGTTATTGAGTACAATGCTGAAAATTATTACATAGAAAACATGATAAATAACCGGGTGGATCACATCTCAGAGGCAGAGGTTCAAGCAATCAACAAAGCTACCTTGGGCCAGTCATCCAACCCCCAGTGGACAGAACTAAGGAATGGAAGACTAACTGCTTCAAATTTTTATGCTGTTCACACAAAAGTAGAGAGTTACAAAAGAAATTCAGATTGTGATGTTAGTTCATTACTTTTACGAATAATGGGGTATAAATCTGTAAATCCAAATGTCAAAGCCCTTAAGTATGGACGGGAAATGGAACCCATAGCAAAAGCTGACTTCAAGAAAATGTACAAAAAAAATCACAAAAATGTCATGTTTGATGAATGTGGAATATTTTTAGATACAGAGCGGCCATTTTTAGCTGCTTCCCCTGATTTACTTGTATCTTGTTCTTGCTGTGGAGACGGCGTGGTAGAATTTAAATGTCCACTTATTCCAAAATGCCTTACATGTGTTTCTTTTTGCAAATGTAAATTGCCAAATTGTTTACAATGCACAGAACCACTAACACTGAAACGAGGGGCATATTATGGTCAAGTACAAGGGCAGATGTCGCTTACAAAGGGGAAATGGTGTATACTGTACATATATACATGCAATGGACCCTTTCATGGAAAAATTGTGTTTGACAGTGATTTTTTTTCAAACATGTTAGTCAGTCTGGAATATTTTTATTCATCTTTCATACTTCCAGAGATTTTTACTAGGTCATTACAGACTAGTAGTTTATTGACACAAGAAACAGAAGAGCCAATGGAAATTGATAATCATTTGATAGAGGGTAAAACATTTTTTTGCCCTGAATGCAATATGGTTATTGTTGATGAAGTAGCTGGACTCAAAGACCGTAGCATTTGTTGTGACATGTGCAAGCTTTGGTACCACTTTCATTGTGTTGGCATTACAAACAAATATGTCAAGAGTCTAGAGTCATGGAATTGTAAAAACTGTAAAGCATGTTGATACTTTGTTGTATGTACCCTTTCTTTTTTTTTATTGGAAAGGAAAATTAAATATGTCCCAATTCAACAAACTGATTTCAGTACGTTATCAAACTTCAGAGACTGTCTGCATCTTTATTATTCAAATTAGTACTATATCATGTATTTGTATATCTTACAATTACATTTTTTTTCTTACATGTGAACTAAAACCTTCTCAACTTTGCTTTTAAGTTTCATCAACGATTAAGGCTTATACTAAGTAGGTTTATATATGTTTAACTATCATTACTAAAAGGAAACAAAGTTTCAGACTTTCATATCATATGCAAATGATAGCTAAAGTTGTTACATTTATGAACCATTTAGACAATTTACAGAAAAAATAGAGAGGAAAAAACGAATTTATCAATGAATTTTATTTCTTGTCAATTAATGCATATCATTGTAAGAGATTATGACATTTTATGTGAATGTTTCAGAATTCACTTTATAAAAAGTAAATTGCAAACACATACATAACACTTTGCTATTTCTGTGTTGAATGGTTATGTTCTTTATTTGTTCATTTTAAGCAATGAATTAAATTAATTTATACCACTGTTTAAAAAATTATGTATTTTTCATATTGTTGGACATTGTGAATCACATAATGTTGTGAACTTAAAATATGATCTAAATTCATGTATTCAATTACTGTGTACATAAATCTGAATTCACTCATTGATTATTTTAATTTTTGTGTTGTGTATTAGTAATCACATTATGTCATCCCAATTACAAATAATATACATGTTTGTTTAATGAAATTCATAAATTGAATTCCACAAACAAGTAAGTTTTCTTAGTACTTTGGAAGGGGTGGATACATGTTACATATGCCACTAATTATTTTCAAAATGTCATCAAGGTGCTGACATACTGTTAGGGGAATTTCAAATTTCAAAATCCGAAAGTATTTCATTCTCCTAATAGCCTGTTCAACAAAAATTCGCCTGTTTGCGATTTCTTTTGTTTTTCTTACATCATTGGCGGCATCTGACTGACCCCATGCCTGCCAGGAGGGGTCAACAATGTAGCACGGAGAAGCGTAAAATCTTGTAATAAATTGCTAAAACCTTTGTCAGCCATGATATAGTCAAATGGCTGTATAATGTCCATGAAGCCCGAATTCAAAGTGATGTGCTTATCACTGGTCCTCCCACCCCAGCACTCTGAAATAAAATTGATCATGCCAGATGGGTTTATGCTAATTAAATATTTTGCTGTGTAATGGTGTTTATAGTCACTCCAACACTGATTTTGGTGAACTAAGTTTTGGGGTTTTTCTATAAATATTTCGGAGCAGTCAATGATATGCCTAACCTGAGAGTATTTGGCAGTCTGAAAAGCAGGGGGTAAATTTTGCCTCACAACTTCCTTTCCTGCATTAAATACTAAGCAATTTAGATATTTTTTAAGCAGCTTTACCCAGGTTGTAAAAATTCTGGACACATCTGAAATCTGTCACCTAAATCTTCGTCTAAAAGACCAAGCTTTAACTTCATAAAAGTAAGGAGCATTTCTTCTTTGGGGTTTAATTTTCGACTAACTCGGGCTTTCTGAAATTTCTTGTATTTAAGAGTTGTACAGTGGTAGGAGGGACCCTTCCAATATCGGACATTTTTTATGGAGGGCAGAATAGCATTATAAACTGCATTGAAGGCAGCCTTAGTGGGGATCCCTGTGTAAAACTTTACTTTGCTATCACTGCTCAATAAACCTAACATGCCAGTAGTTTTGGCTTGGTTTGGAATTAACTTGTTTTTGCATGCATTTAATTCAGAATTTAGATATTTAATCTGATCTTTCAGTTTTCTTATTTCTTCCTCTTTGTAAACACATGTGTCGCAGTATTCTAAATAATCATGGTCAATCAAATGATGATTGTTTGTCACATCACAGTCATTAAGTATGTCAGAGTGGGATGTTGACTTTCTTTTCTTGGTAGGAACCTCTGCAGATCTTTCCTTTGGTGGCTGTCTTCCCATGGTAACCTTTTCCTTGTGTCCCATTTTAATTGTCGGGTATGGATTACTAGGTGTAGGTTCCCCATCCAAAAAATGAGTGGAGCAAATTCTAGAGTCATTATTTGGTCTCCAAATTTCACCACTTTGATTTTGGCGATTTATATTTCGAATCCATACACTCCTTGTGTATTTGTCTTTGGATTCCGTCGGAAATGTAATCAATTTAAAAGGGGGATCACAAATGCATCTTCCAGTTCCAAAATGACAAAGATGAACTTCACAAAGTTCAGATTTCCATTTCTTCAACTTATTATCACCATTGCTACATCCACTGACGCAACAATGTCTCCCAGGCATATTTAGCAAGGCATTGAATGTCAAATCGTTTGAAACAAATTGCAAACTTGCACACAAAACCAAGCAACGGAAAATAAAAAGAAAGAGAAATGCAAGAACTTTCAATTCATTTCTTACCACCAAGATATCTCATTTTCTGCAAGCAAATAATAAGAGGCAGTGATATTAAAGTGTAAGTTAATTCTTACATCTAACCTTTTTAGTTTACTAAAAGATCCAGCACTGACTTAAACTGATAGTCACAGTAGTGCTTAAACAGTGCCCCCCCCCTAAAATTGTCTAAGTTAAGGTGAATCAGTTTCGTCTAGAAAATGTAAATATGTCTACTTAGTAGACCTCATTTTTACCCTACTAAATCTCTAGAACCCAGGAGCTTCCGGGGGCTTCGCCCCCTGGGCCCCCACCAAGGCTTTTATAACACAACAATGTTCAATGCAGGTTATATGTTTTTAATGACGTATTCTAATGAAATAACGGACAAACAAACAGACAGTTCAGATAAAGAATCAGTCAGTCCGAATATATAAATATACACTTGTGTGTAGAATTTTTACAGCGTTAATACTTTAGTTTGTCACTAGTATAAGTTCTCACTAGCACAGGGGAGGTATAATAATCAGTGTTAATTCTTCTGTGTCGTATAGTGGAATTCTGTCTTGGGAGTCCGATCTTAGGACTATATTAGTCTTCAACCTGCCCTTGGGACATGGTCCACTCCGATCAATTAGTGTAATTGTATAATTGATATTTCATGGCCGTAGTAGCGGTAGGTATTATGATCATTATGAGTATTATTACAACCGAAATGTAGTCCGATGATCACTTTATGCCATAGTCGTGAGGGTAAATGACAAGCGGAATGATCCATCACCCATTAAGTACTGCGGACGTACAGGGATTATTATGCCCTGTTTACACACGTCCTAATTATAAACAGCAAACAAATATCTATACATAGTAAACACATTAATAAATAGAAGAACAATATAAGTACCTTCACCTGATCAAGAATATAGGTTAAGTAAGTTTATAATTATGTAATAATTTAATGATATATCAGTTTTCATAACGTCAATTGTGTTACACTCCTCCCTTGCAGGAAATGAATTAGTTTAAGGTCAAGATCTAGTAAATGAAGGGTGCCTACAGATTTATCAAATTCAAGAAATGAATTCCTCTAATGATGCTTTATAACTTTAGCTTAGTCAAAAAAGGTGTTTCGGGGCATAATTTAAGAGAAATAAGATGAAATACAATATTTTAAACTGTCATTTTTAATGAAAAATGAAGAAAACCAGTCATGAATATGGGAGTTTTTTCCATATCACACGAACAAAATGTATCCAGATTGCCTACAGTCTTACAGAAAACGGTAATTTGTATGTTCTTGGTCTCTTCTTTTAAATAATCTTAAATTCAATATAGGTATCCGGACTACTTTTCATGTGATTTCAAATTGAATTCCATGAAAATACTTTATTTTCTACATAATTCTATTAGAGCTGTAAAGTACGGGAAAAAGAAAGTTGAAAGTGATTATGACGTCATAATGGATCTAGCACCAAAAAGCATAGACCTAAGCAAAAAGTTAGTCTAAAGACATTTACTAGATCTTGACCTTAATTCATATATTTCATCACTAATAGATAACCTCGTCCATCAGGTCATCTACGTTGTGACACTGTAAGAATAACACAATTGAGAAAGATATATACACCATTCACCAATTTTCGCTGATTAAATATGGTACCCTCCTCCAATGATAGAATAATTTCCATCGTAGAAACATAAATCACTATGTACACGTTGATACACTGTTATTCTTGAATCGTTTATTTTCATTGAACTGTAGTAAACCGCAGGTTTCGATTCACTCAGTTTTAATCCTTTATTGTAAAATTATAAGTCCAATATTCACGATCCTTGACTCTAATAAAAGAGGGATCGACTTACAACAAAAGTCTAATCACGCTGTGGTGGTACGCTCATCACTGGGTGGTTCTGCATCCTTCCTAATCGTTGGATAAAGTTTCGTAATAGTATCCACGGATTCCACTCCAGCGGTGTAAACAGTTGCCAGCAATGGTGCAGAGGCCTTTGTATCTCTGCCAGTGTGACCTTCACCAGACGAGTTAATCGCCACCAATGGGTACTGTCCTTGCTCTCCTTCTGCTTTCTTTCCTCTCTGCCAAAATTTACCTGACCAACGCCTTTTACATTTACAATAAATATAAATTACAATCCCCAGGATTAAAGCAATGCCGAAGGCTAAAATTGCATAAAGCCAATTTGGCCAATCCCCAAGGGGAGGTAAATAATCAACTGAATCAGTGCTTGTTAACTCATGAACCAGCCTTACGTAACGGTCTACCTTGTTCGTCTTGAGGTATTTCCCACTCATCGATCTTTGCTAGTCGAAGTAACTCTTCATGCGCTTTTGTAACCTTACCGTCTAATTGGCTTTTTATTTTGAACGTCACAGGAGATATCTGCTCAATTATTCTATAAAACGGTTTCCATTTTGACTGAAGCTTACTTCGTCGTTGGTTATTTTTGTAGTAGACTGGATCTCCGATCTTTAAATCCACGTCTACTGCGCCCCGATTCGCATACTTTGCTTGTCTCTATTTAGTTCGCTTCAGGATTCTGTGAACCATGGTAAAAGTCTTGTGCTGTTGTTCCAGTGCGACTCTGTGAGGATCCTCACCCATATACATACGTTGAGGCTGGAGAATGTTGTCTATAGGAAGAACAACATCTCGGCTGTAGAGTAGATAAAATGGCGAAAAAGATGAGGATTCGTTGATGTTGAATCGAATTGCTGCTAAAGCTTGGTTCAAGAAAATATCCCATGTCGTCAAATTGTCTTCCAACTTCTTTGACAGTACATCATGTAAGGTTCTATGGAATCGCTCAACTTTGGCATTGCTCTGGGGATGGTAGTATGAGGTTTTTACATGAGAGACGTTCAGTTCTTTCAAAGTCTCTCTAATTACCTTATTTTCATTCTCCGTACCATTGTCAGGGATGATTTCCAACGGAGCTCCAAAACTCGGGAATATCTCCTCAAGGATCCAAGTGAGCAATGGGTGCTGCCGTTTTGTCCGGAACTGCAAACGCTTCTGGTCAACCTGAGAACAGATCTACAAACCCAATTATGTATTTGTTTCCCGATAATGACTTTGGATACGGACCCGATAGATCAAGACCAATCTTTGCAAATGCAAATGGTGGAACGTCTGTTTCCTGTACAGATGGCTTTAACTTCTTAAGGTTTCTCATCGCGCAAGTTACACACTTACCAACATAATCGTACAGCTCTTTGTAAAGATTAGGCCAGTAGTACTTCTGTCGGATGGCATCAAATGTCTTGTCAATTCCCAGGTGACCATTGTCATCATGATACTGCTTGATTACACCAGATCGATAATGTGTTGGCACAAAAAGTCTAATAACTGGATCATTATCAGCATTTGATAGATAATACAGCACATCGTCAATAATAAGATGTTTGTCACTTACTGACTTCTTTGCTATACCTTGTTGTATCTGGCGGATAATGCGTAGTACTTCAGGGTCTTTGGCTTGCTCTTCAGCTATGCTTACCTCATTGTCTTCATTAAGTTGGATCTGAGGTTTGAAAGGGATGTCAGGCTCACCTATATCATAGCGTACAAAATCTTTTGGATTAATTGCATTAGAATTAATGAAATTGATTTCCAATGAATTCTCATGTACATCTGGCTCATCTTGCTCAGTGCTGTTTTCCATTTCCGACATAAGGCTTGTTTGAGGCGTTCTGGATAACAAATCCGCGCACGTGTTCTCAGTTCCCGGGATATACTCAATTTGACAATTGTAACCCGCAATACTCAAGGCCCATAACTGAATCTTTTTATTCTTCATTGGGGCTTCTAACAAGTATTTTAGTGGTTTGTGGTCAGTACGAATTACAAATTTAGCATTATGCAAATAAGGATCGAATTTTTGGAGAGCATAATGAATCGCGAAGGCTTCTTTTTCGACTGTAGACCAACGGGTTTGCGTGTCACTTAGTTTATGAGAAAGGTAACAAATTGGCTTTTCATTTCTGATACCCGGTATTTTAGATTCCGCTCCTTGTTCGTTTACATCTAGCGGTTGAGCTAGGCATGCGCCTATCGCTGTGTCGGAAGCATCGGTATAGAGAATATACTCTTTATTTGTATCCGGTACTGATAACAGCGGCACCACGGTAAGACTTTCTTTTAAGAATTCAAAAGCTTTTTGACATTCATCATTCCATTTAAATCGCGCATATTTCTTTGTTAGTGATACCAAAGGCTCAGCGATTTTTGAAAAGTTTGGTACAAACCGACGATAGTAACTACACATACCTATAAAGCTGCGTATTTCTTTTACAGTATTAGGGGATGGCAATGTTCGAATTGCGGCCACTTTATTAGGGTCTGGTCTTATTCCCTCTTTATCAATAATAAAGCCCAAATACTGTGTTTTCTCTTGAACAAAACTGCACTTTTTCGCTTTTAACTTTAACCCATGTTCCTTGAGTCTTTCAAATACAGTTTGAATATGCTTTTCATGATCTTCGATGGTTTCTGAAAAAATCAAAATATCATCTAAGTAGGCCAAAGCAAATGATTCTAGACCCGCCAATACTATGCTCATTAGTTCTGAAAAGATCTGGGGGGCGTTACAAAGGCCAAAAGGCATTACATTGAATTCAAATAAGCCTCTATGACAAACAAATGCAGTTTTCTCTTTGTCTTCTTCATTCATAAGTACCTGCCAATACCCCGATTTTAGATCTAAAGAGGTAAAATATTTTGTTCTTCCCAATTGATCTAATAAATCGTCAATCAAAGGTAGGGGCCAGGAATTTGTTTTCGTGATTTTATTTAGTTGCCTAAAATCTACACAAAAACGCTTTGTTCCGTCTTTCTTGTCTACTACCACGATGGGAAAACTCCAGGGCGATTTTGAACGTCGCACAATGTTCGCGCTCAACATTTCGTCTATTGCTTTATCTACGATCACTCGTTTATTCAATGGAGTACGATACGGCTTCATTTTGATCGGCGTATGATCACCTGTATCTATTTTCATTTTAATCGTTTTAGTATGCCCTAATTCCGCATCAGTTTTCGCAAAAAGATCTTGATTTTGCATTACAAGTTTTTCAACCATTTCTTTATGTTCTGGCGCTACGTTAAGTTCCGACTTTAACTCTTTTTCTTTGTTGCTCTTATTTTTGTCGTTTATCGATGTTTTGATAGTTTTATCATCGACTACGTTTATCCGCCCTATGACACACCCTCTTTTGATTTTGAAAGTTTTATTTGTATTGTTTACAA